CAAAATGTGTTTGTTGCGAAATGATCACCAAAAAAGGATACTTTTGATCACCAAATTTAATTAATTGTGAAATAGTTAGTACAATGTAGTTTTTTTCACCGGTTTTATAGACAATATACCTATAGCAGACAGTCAACAGGTGAGAGTGAAGTGGATGGTGATAAAGGATGTGAGGATGAGGGTGTGGGTGTAAGTGCTGGTGAATGTGTGATTGTAATGTTTATGATTAGTGCACGATTTATCTAGCGATCTGACTAGGTGAGTGGTGTTTTAGCGATGATTTGGAGTAAGTATGAAAGAAAGCAATAACTACGATATTGTGAGAAGTTTATGCCATATTGTGTCTCTGGTAGTAGCGTTAATTCTTTTTGTGTTGGTAGGGCTTTTCGTGACGTTATTCTGTACAATCAGTGCCATTTTTCGATATACTTATTGCTTTTTCTACTAGTCATTAAATTTGGTGATCAAATGTATATTTTTTTGGTGATCATTTCGCAACAAACACATTTTGGTGATCATTTGTCTCTTTTTTGGTGATCAAAAATATTCATGCCCTTTTTCTTACCATATACGGCAGCAGTGTTTTTTTATTACATTCGGTCTTTATTCTAGTCCTTAGACAAACATATACAAAAGAAAAACGACTGCAACGCAAGTATAAATGATACTAGCATATATGCTGTATTTGAATGTTAAAAGTGATCCTTAGATTAGACGATTTACTTGGAGTTTACCTTCAGCGGTCATGTTTATATTGATCGATATTCTAACTTAAATCACATCCATTTTTATGCCAACTTCATCTTTAACAATACGATCATTTCCGCGAGAATCATAGATAATACAATCACTGATGAGAATCTCAGAATACTTTCACTTTTATTTGTTACAGATGTGTTTCAAAATTTAGGATTCAGATTTGAAGAAGTTCAAGGAATCCAATCAATTTTTTTGTGTGTGGCACTCACAGATATTTTCTCCGAAAATAATGATTGTAAGTTTTAAATTGAGGCTGTGTGACTTTCTCCCAGATCCTCTAGGCTCTAACAACAAACTTACGAGAAACCAAAGATATTTAGATATCTTTCCATAGTAACGGGAAAAGATGCATTAGTTATATCAGTGCTGGAATCATTCTAGAACTCTGTAGATGAGAACTAGTCTAAATATAGCAGGTTCTGGTTTTTAATGCAGCGACAGAGTCAATCATTAGGACCATGTTATTTTTTATTTAGTGAAGTTAGAATAGGACCAGGATAGAAACCTATGAACTAAATGAATTCTAAGGTTAGGCAAAACTCAACACTATGTAACAAAGTTCGTCGAAAGAGAGGACGTTCTACGTAGTAGCTCACTGAACTATTAAATCAATGTGTACAGCAGGCTAATATTGCAGTTGAATCGACGAAGTGAAAAGCAAAATTATATTTACCACTTTCTATAGCATGCATTCTATGTATATTATCATTACGAGAAAAGAAATTATTTATTCAAGATGTATCTGACAATATAAATAAGCTTTGACAGTATCATGATATTAAATGACATAAATAAATTGTTAGTAAAATAATTCTAAATGTTAAGTTTTGAAATGATAACCTTTCAGAGCCCATCTATCAACTATAAAAATTGTTGTCATTTTGTCTTACTCATTTAATTGATATTTTTTAGGAATGCAACGGTGACGATCATTCACCAGTTAATCGTCACCGTTTCACCGGTCCAAATCGATAACTGTACCTACGGTTATCGGTCCGACTACGATAACCGCACCTACGGTTATGGGTCTAAGTACGATAACTGTAGGTACGGTTACCGTGGGTACAGTTATCGGTTCAAATCGGTTGTCCCGAAAAACAGAATTATATTACCGAATATTGATCTGAGACTTCCCCATATCAACCTCTCAAGTAGAATAGTTTGTGCATAAAATTTTAGAATTTTTAAAAGTAGCCTTTAATAGATATGCATTTCCCAAAGTAAAGACCAATTTCCACAGATATAATAGAAAAGACGGATGTTTTGGGAAATGCAAATATCTTAAATGCTACTTTTAAAAACTCTGAAATTTTGTGCACAACCTACTCTATTTGAGAGCTTGATATGGGGGAAGTCTCAGATCAATATTCGGTAATATGGTTTTGCTGTAAAGCTTGGATCCCATGAAAAAGATTTCTTAAAAATTCAGTATCTCTGGAACAAAGGCATGAGGGGATGAATTCTCTTAGATTTTTCATACCTCATTGAGATCTGCTTATGACCAAAAGATGAAGCCTAAATTACTTGAACACTTCGGTATGTTCCCTCGTGAGCTATCTAATCATGATGAAACTAGCAAAAATGAATGAATAGCTTTTAAAGTAGTATGGAATAAATCTGAAGTCTTACGTTTTTGAAAACCACTTTACCTATGTTTTGCTACTCATCGGGAACTTCCACTCTCACATATAACAAATTGTGAGATGGAGACTCCGTCACGCAGAGAACATTGAGAAAAAACTTTGACTTTTCTTTTCTCTCAAAGAAACTTTCAGAAAACTTGCGAAACAATTTACCGTCAAGAAACAATCTGCATGAAGCATTCTGGTTTTAAATAAAAAGTGAGTTGTTTCTAGACGATACTTCAATAAGTGCTCAGTGTTTTCTATTAAGTCATGTCAACTGGCTCTGTCATCTTGTTCAAAGCTCTTCTGGTGCTTTTCGTTACCTTCGGTCATGCGAATGGCGGCACCTGATACTGCACCTTCTGCGCGGCAGGATGTTCGACTAATGTCAATCAAAGCTTCACCATAAGTGACTGCTCCAGTTGTACCTACTCACTTTGTTCCGCTTCGATCAGTACTTCTATTCCGAGTATAATTTTTTCGACTGGAGTCGTGAACGCCTATTGTAACAATCTGACAATTACGGTCACCACCAATGCTGCCACCATCACTGCCGCCACCACTACTGCTAAGAGTATGGCATCCAGTAACATACACACCAAAATGTACCAATTTATCATGCTACCCCTCATTGATTTTCTACTTCCGTTGTTATTGTCGCCCACAGCTTAATTAGTATTTAATGGGACTTGTTCTTCTCATCACCTATTTCATTTTTTTACTAAGAAAAATGAATTCCGATTTCATTTTTTGTCAATCACAATCTTTCTTCGGCATAAATAAAGTTTCATGAGATTATCTAGTTTTCTGTTCGACTGTTCGCCAAAGCTGGTATTTCAAGGCAAAAAAATCGCTTCAGCACAGTATCACAGCATATCAAGCTTGAGAGTGTGGATGTGGGTCTAGTTGAAAAGAAGACTCACACCCACACCCCCCACACCTACACGCCATAGCCACACACCCACGCCCACAATATATTTATTTTAAATATTTGTTTTTTTTATTATTTTAGGGTCTGAGTAAACGTGATCGTACAACATTTTCAAATTTAAAAGAATTTGTATCATCAAATGAAAATTGGAAACGTTTAAGACATCATTTAACAAATACAAAATTACCATATATTTCATATCTTGGTAAAAAAATAAAATAAAATAAAGCTTTTTATAGAAAAAAAAACTTTTCAATTTTAAGGTATTTATTTAACTGATCTTATTCGTATTGATACACTACATCCACATAGTGGTGGACTTGAAACAAATCAACGTAAAAATACCATGAATAATATTTGTCGAGTTATATCAGAATTTCAACAATCAACTTATGGTTTGTTTTATTTATAGAAAAACGAAAAACGAAAAACACAAAACCTTGACATATTTTTAGAATTTCTTAAATCCATTGAATGCGTACAAAATTATCTTGCATCTTACGTTATATGGAAGAATTACAAACATTTGTTGAAGATCAAAATTTTAAACAATCATTAACTATTGAACCTGATCAAATAAATACCGATCATAATGATTCACATTATGATCGAACACCAAAACCTTTAGAAAAATCAGCATCATTTAAAATTTCACATATTGATTCACATTCAACATGTACACATAGACGAACACTTAGTGATTATAATCAGTATGTTGAAGTTTTTAAAAAATAAAAAATTTTCATTTTCTTTGTTTTGTTTTTTAGTTCAAATTGTTTATCATCATCAAATAAATCTGCAACACTACCCTGTAGAACACATGAAAAGAAAAGTTTATTAGATGATAGTGTACTTGCAGATTGTATGCACGAAGAAACTCGATCTAGTATGTGTTCAATTTAAAATAAAGATTTGATTTTGATAAATAATATAAAATATTTTAGGTCTTTTATTATATAAAGGTAAAATAATCCGCTAGCCATCTTTTTTTTTTGTTGGCAATAAACCATGCTTTGCTTCATTATCACATTAAATTAACTATACTTACCTACAACATGCTTGCGTTTCGTTTGAATGTTAACCCAGTTCGTATAGATGAGTCAGTCATTTTAAGTTCTAACATTAATATTATTAAGACTAGAGTTATGACTATTTCAGTAGATTTGCGACCTCTGGACCGATTATTCATGAAAATTTCTCCCATAGACCGATCTCGTAGCTATTAAAATATTCTAAAAATTTCAGCTCGAAGAAATATATTCCTGTTGAGATGTCAAGTATTCAATGAATGCTACTGTATCATAAGATAAGCTATAAGAATCTAATTGTTTTAGACACTTGATATTTCAAGAGATATATGTTCGTTTGAGCTGAAATTTTTAGAATATTCTAATGATCCTATCTATGTGCAAAATTTCAGATGAATAGCTGTTTTAAAGATCTAAGACCTACTCGAACGGTCATAGCTTTTGTTGAATAACACATATGCACAAACTCATTTAACATTTTCTTAGTTCCATTGAATCATAGTCAAAATATCGAGTTGAATAGCGTCTGACAGATGAATATATTTCTTTGTTAACCATATGCTTCGAAGAACAGATTCCAATAGATATTCATCAGTTTATTCAGAGAGAAGTTCTTACATCTCTATATAGAAGGTCAATATCTCAAGAACAAATAAAACCTGTCGTTCCATTAAGAAGATTTAGC